GAAGTGTACACAATTTTTTGCTGCCTTTCTATTAAAAATGAAAATATTCTGCTCCATTACAAATGGAAACACCCTTTAATCAGGGTGAATTAGACCAAACATATGCCTGTTTCAAAAATCGGGCCTACGTCGAATTTTATGGGCTTAAAATTAAGTAAAAAATACACAGATTAAAAGCCTAAATTTGTGTATTTGTAGAGGTCGAGCGTCATATTATTTATAACAAAAGAAAAAAATAATTGTTCTTTTTTCAGTTTTTCGTTTACATCTCCGAAAATAAGGCTCTAATCGACATGAGGTATACTTATCGATTTTGTTCCTGAGGAAATTTGCTACAAGGATAGGCTTTTGCGAAAGCTCGACAAATTTTTTTTACATTGCGGTGAAAAAAAAATGTGCAAAATTTTCAGCATTAAATAAAAAGAATTTGGCTGAAATTGGATGAAACTACAGGAAATTAGTCCCCCGTTAGGGTGCTCAACAAATACCCGCAATCCGGACCCTCAATTTCAAAATGGCGGCCTATTGCAAAATTAAAGTCGAAAACGGGAGCGCGTTTATCTTTTGTCCAGGTCAAGATATCGAAATTCTGCAAAAAAGGATCGAAAGATAATTGCATTATTTCGTGTCTGTGTAAATTTCAGATTTTTAAACATTTGTCTATTTGTACTCAAAAGTTAAACTTTTAAACATTCATTACTCATGTCTTTGGATGGCAACTAAACTACCAATTTCTATGGTACTTTTCAATCCATTGATGGGTCCGCCATTTTAGATTTAATAATGTTTTAATTAAAACCTTATAGGTATTCGTGATTGGCGGCTTTGAAAACCACCGAGTAACAAGTTTCAGCCATAATCTTCAAATTTTGAATGCTTTTCCGGATTTTACATCCGCCATATTGAATCCGCCATCATTTATTCAGGAATTTTCTAATTAGGACTTCAGATTCTTAATCAGCGACCCCAAAAATCTACGGTAACAAAATTCAGTCAAAAATATCTGTTATATCCGAGACCAATTGTAACAGCAATGGAAGAGTAAACGAAAATTAGTTTTATTGACAAGAATTTAAAGAAATTTCCATTATAGCTGTTTTACATTGACAATTTATTGATGAATAAATTGACGAAGTTCTTCATGAATTAATTCACGAATTTATTGGTAAACAGTGTGGTTTTACATTGCTACAGACTTTATCAAGTTTTTTGACGCATGAATCAGTTCTACCAACGAATCAAAGAAGCAAATAAATTTCAAAAATGTCACCTTTCCACTCATAATTGTAGTGATACAACAGCGGTACCGTTTTGACACATATTATATAAATATTAGTGTTTGTAAGTAACAAATCAGTAAAAACAATGCAAAACTAGTACGACACCACACAATTATTTACATATTCCAATAACATAATCTCATTACTGATCTGAGGGTGGAAATCTGTTGGGTTGGTACTTCCGAACTTCACGAAGAAATTGACGAAAATTAGAACATGCTCTAATTCGTCAAGAACTTGATGAATAAATTCATGAAGTTATTTGACAGCAGATTTGGTGCATAACACTTGTCCAATTTCTTCATGAAGCGACTTCATGAATTAATTGATCAATAAATTGTCAATGTAAAACAGCTATTAGGTAAATATAATGTGGATGTATCTAATACCTAGGATGATACGACGGAGGAAACAGTTTGAACAATTAAAATATTGTAGAATGGTATGGGAATGAGGAAATACGATTTCAGTTTAAATATCATTGTGTTTACACTCTAATAAAACGCTCACATATTTTTAGCAAATTTTCGTTGCGTAATGTAAAATTTCTGCAAGGAATCCATTAGTAATTTGTAAATTACGGATTCTCCAAAACATTCCAGAGAAGAAAGCCGAAAGAAGTGAGCTGCTGAATGCTTCGTCCATTCATCTGAAACAAATAGCCCGTTAATTTTTACGATTTAAAATTTTAATAACCTAGCAGCTAATAGCCGCGTTAATTTTGTTTCAATAGAGACAGTAATAAGCAAAAAAATCTCGTAAAAAGCAACAGTAGCCTTTCTCCTAGATTAAAATAACAAATATTGGAATTTTCAGTAGGAGGATAGGTCAGCTCGTCAATAATAATCGTGATTCATAATTATTCGTAAAAGTACTGGAATATCGAATGAAACACTGATTTAAATTATGCTATAGGTATTTTAAAAAACTGATATCTAAGTATTTGCAAAAAGACATTTATATAGGGTGGTGTTAAAATACGTCATTTTAAGCAAAAAATTAATGAATACCATGAATGTGATCTAAATGACTTGGTCTTTAAGACACTGGTTGTTATCATATTGTCTGAAAATATTATTTGCGGCGGGAATTCTTTCTTTAGAGGTACTTTGCCATATCGTTTCTTAGCTTCATAAAGTGACCCCTTTCGCTACAAGAATCAGTAAGTGATTGTTTTTTACTAAAGTTATTTTTACCTATAATTTTAAATCTCGGAAATCCCACGATAAGGATTAGATAAATACTCGCATATAAGAAACTTTTTACGAGGTATCTTGTTGATGTTTTTTTTCCGAAACGAAGGATCTCTACAGATTGTTATTGTTTGAAAAATATTACGTTTATGCAAATAGGTATCTCAAAAGCGATTTGATATGACATGTTTGAGTTGACAACTTATGGAAATAAACGTAAAAATTCATCGAGCTTGTCAACAGTTCTATAAACCAGTCGCCATAACCTCGACGCCGTTAAGCATTTTGGAAATTCGATCAGTTCATTTAATTCGTAATTGCATTTGAAAACAAAAAAATGTCAGTACCATTTATTTAAAAAGGTCTTTGATGTTAATCCCTCGGTTAATCCCTTTTATGAAACTTCAATTAATTATTGCTGTCTTTATAAATATAATTTAGAAATTGGTCAATAAAGTCTGAAGAATCTAGTACAATATTTAGAAATCATCAGAGGTTTGTAAAAAATCGGAAAATCTGAACAAAATCCGCTGTCTCTGAGATATTGTAAGGAATCCTAATCTCTTGGAAGGTTGCACAGAAATTCCAGCATTCTTTAAAAAATCGGGCGACTGCCGCAGTACATGTCCATTTTTTTGATTGTGAAACGGCCCTCAGTTATAATTAAAATTTCATTAGTGAAAAATATTCAAATACTTTTTGAAAAACTAACCGTTTAATACTGTAGTAGCCTTATATTATAAAAAAGATACCTAATAACTCGAAAATAGCCCGTTTTTCCAGTAAAGTTGAAGAAATTATTTTACAAAATGCCCTGTATTAAAATGTTAGTGATTTTTGTGGCAGTGTATCCCAGTAGTTCCGTCAAATTAAGTGAATTTTGGCCTGTAATTAGTTAATTTGCTAACTTAAGTTTCAGTAATATATATCCTACACTTTTTGTGTAAAAAACCCCAACACCTTGTATCTTATTTTATTTGATGTTAATCATTTTATATACATACAGGGTGTTTGGTAAGTCGTTGCATTCCTTGCAGGAGGCTATAGTACGAGTGATTTATGATATATTTCCTTAATATACTATATTCCGAAAACACTTAGTTTCCGATGTACAGGGTGTTAAAGTTTTAATTAAAAAAATGCAGTTTTATAAATATTGCGGAAACCGCTCAAAATATTTTAATGAAATTATACAGGCTTTGACAGTTAACAACAATACATGTTTTACGATAAAAATAATGTTTTTAGTTTCACCAGTGGCGTGCGCACAGGCACGTATCTAAATATTGTTAAAGAAAAACGTGATATACCACTGATTTTTCTTAAAATAAAAATTATTTTTGAGTTCATTGTTCAATTTGGAAGAGAAAAGGTATCTTGACTGTTTTTCTTATGACGCACCTTTTTCGAGTAAAAAAAAAATAAAATCGATTTATTGCATGGTGTAATTCGGTTTCAATAATTTGAAAAATAGTAGAAATTATGCTCTAGGTAACTACTTCACACTCAAACACTCAAAGTGACAGCTATTATTAATTTTGTCAAACAATAACAAAAACGAGTGCACAGCGAACTTGCTAATTTCTGTTTAGATAGTAAATAGTGAATCTAAAAACTGATAAAATTCTTTTAGACTGATGTCAACTGCGAGGAATAATAATTTTTTGTGATAAAATTAGTGTTAAAAAAAGCTGAGTGCATACCTAATTTCTGCTATTTTTCAAATTATTGAAACCGAATTACGCCATGCAATAAATCGATTTTAATTTTTTTACTCGAAAACGGTGCGTCATAAGAAAAATAGTCGAGATACCTTTTCTCTTCCAAATTGAACAAGGAATTCAAAAANTAAAATTCTTTTAGACTGATGTCAACTGCGAGGAATAATAATTTTTTGTGATAAAATTAGTGTTAAAAAAAGCTGAGTGCATAGTTTCTGCTATTTTTTAAAAGATTAAAATAAATATGTTTTAGCTTGAAAGCTATTCATTGATTTATTTTGAAAGGGGTTAAAAATATTTTTGTGTTATAGGGAACGGAGGTAAATAAGGTAATTTTGCAATAAGAGTTAATGAAATTTAATTGCCACGGAATATTAAGAGGTTTTATTTTGTTTAGGTATTGCCGTGGATATTGTTATATGGAAGTCGAGTATGTTATGCACTCGGTTGTGAATAACTAGACATCTTTCTTCGAGTCTTTCTTAGAACAATTTTTTAGATACATATTGCATTTACCGAGGAATTTACATTATTTCACTGAATTTATGAAGGTTAATAATAATAATAATTAATTAATAAAGGTTACACCACGTGTTTTTTTTTAGAAATGCCATTCTTAACGTTTTTTGTCTGTATCCAGCGGAAAATGACCGATTTTCTTAAAAACTGAAGCGCTTTATTTTATTAAATTGTATAATATTTCACGCTATTTTATGGTTTAATGACCACTTGATTATCTTGTGAGAAAATTGACAAAATAAGAGATTAAGTCCAGCGGTGAATTAAAATAAATATTGTTGTTTCAGGTGGGAGCTTCCTTCCATCTCACCAACGTCCAAGTGTACGTGGTGGACCTGAAGAAGTGCAAACCCTTCGGCACCTCCTCCATAGACAACGCACCTAGTCCCTTCACGCCACACCAGAGCATTAGGAAGAGTTTTTCCAAGGCCGACCGACCGCCTAGCCTGAAGACCCGCACGCTGGATGTGAAGACCATCGAGGAGAGTACTTCCGGCACAGACCCGGAGGAGGAGTCTACAGCGGACATCACGAATCTCAAGGACTACCACGAGATCTTCAGGGGCCGTGGGTGTAAGTATTGTAATTCCGTTATTGATAAAAAAATGCATGACTTGTAGATTCGGCTGGAATTTATACAGATTTGTCGTGTATTGCAAAATTGTTTTAAGTATAACAACATCTAGACCAGATCACGGTATACTCATTAACAAGTTGAATCAATTCAGTATATTGTCGGGCTTACTAATTTGTTTTTATTTTTATCTATATAAAAGAAAGCACTATGTAGAATTGAATAGAATATTGGAAACTTCTGAAGTTCTGCAGAACTATCTACTGAGCCCCCTTTTATTTATAATTTTTATCAATGACATTGTAGGTGATCTGTGCACTGTTTGCTATGGCTGCGCATTGTTTGCTATTTGCAGATATATGAAATGGCGAATAAATCCTACAAATGATTCTAAACAAAGGACATTATTTTATCTCTCTTATAAAGGGTCATTTTTATGATCCTCAAGGAGTCCTGATTCAACCCTCATGTAATTCTTTATATGGGAGACGCTGGAAGTAAAGAAAGCACGACCTAATAACCTAAAAGAGAAAATGTTGAACCCAGTTAATACTATCAATGATGCGTTTATATAGAATATAATGATGAATACTTCTGATAATAAGATATTTCTCAAAGAAATTAAAGGATTTTTTATTAAATTTAACAGTGTGAAGAGCATTCACTCGTAAACTTGCCCTTATCCATTGTGGAGAGTCAGTAAGTAAACAAAAATAATGTGCAGACTGTTGAAGCAGATAATTTTACAAGGTGACTGATTTATAAAAACACATGTTTGTAAATTAAAATTACCTGAATCACACCAAATTCCGCATTGCTACACTGCACTGCTGGAACAATTTGTCGACCACTTGTTAATGGCTGAGATTTATTGCCCAGTAGCCCAATGCAGCTGTATTTATATTTCGTTTACCCGCGCTCGCATTCTTCGACTGGGCGTATACATTTCTACCACCTCCATGTTTAGTTCGACTAGACCTATATATGGGTATGGCTAAATAAATATGGGAACAAGTTTTTCAAATATTTCAATGCCGAGTTGCTGCGTCAGCAACCGAACCTGGTACATACTGTCAACCTCTTGGTTCATCAATTGATATCGGAAAGACTGTAACGATAATGTACGTTGAAAAAAGGAATAACTCGAAAATATCCATTTTTCGAATAAAGCAGAAGAGTTTTTTTAGTATTTAGGAGTTAGAAGAAGTATTTAAAAGCCCCTTAGTGACAGTGACTCCCGTTATCTCCGCCACTGGTAAACATATGTACATCCGAATTCGAGGATTTTTACCTTTAATTTGGTAAATCCGAGGGTAAATCTAAAACCCTAAGTTCCATTACTCTGTACGTTCAACATTTTTGGAGACATTTTACTGTGAAATTTTTTTTCAAATATCTCTGAATGTAAAACGAAGCATTTCCGAATTTCCTAGCATTTTATTCTTATTTAGCCACCTGCATTAAAATTTTAAGTTTGTCCATTTAATCCTGAAACATCTTATGCAATAGACATGCGATCTGCAGAGAATATACTGGGTACAGTTAACTTTTATAATTGATGAATATTAAAAATTATTTAATTATTTATAAGATAACCTCTAAATACCTTCATTATTATTTACATTATTGCTTCTAGCGAAGGACTACATATATTTTTAATTAGCAATACTCGTACAAAATTAAATTGCGTGTTTTTGTTTGCACGTAAAAATAAAAAGTTTTGCATGATAATCACACACTAAAATATTTCGTGCTTCTCATTTAAATTTTTTAATAGAAGTTTCGTAAATAAAGGAAGAAAATTAACATAATTGCGAGCATAATTCTTTATTGTTTCAGCATGAGAAGAAATAATATTTATAAACGTCTATTATTGTTTCTTATTATTAATAAAGATCATAGCTATTTACCGTCTCTACATAAAATCATCGTTTAAATACGTGTGTGTAGAGATGGAGAAATATTACTATTGCATTTAATAATGTGTGTGGATTTCCTGTCCTCATCGATTGTTAATAGTATATGGTCTGTGAATGCATTGTGTGTTAAAGATGTCCGGTTTAAAACAAAGTAATGGAAACCTAGTACTTTTTTAACGACTTAGGTATTACGTTAAAAGAAGTAATACAACTTCCCTTGAATAGGAGAAATGTTTTAAACTTATTTCAAGTATTTTCTTGTCTATAGTGCGGCACAAATAGATTTTACTATTTTCTATTGTTAGTCAATGTCAAGTCGGTACATTCAGTGATAACTTACAATAAATACAGATGCTGAGTCTTTTATTATGGGTAGGTATATGCACATTTGATTTGTTTTGAAATTAAAAGGGTACACTACTATTAAAGGAAAGGTATTAATTTCGTTACAATATCGAATGCAGTCATTTCTTATCCATTGCCTGTGCCCTGACTTTCACAACTATCTCTGACCTTTTATGTTTGTTATTTTAAGTTTTTTATTAGAGAGCGTTTTATTTATACACTGCTACCACTGGTTTACCAGAGCCCAATCTGCTTCTGCTACTGTATTTCTTGAAATACCTACTGCAGTCGTTCTCCTCACGGTAGCCGGTATTTTATATTAATTTCCGACGATACTTGTAATTGTGAAAAATTAAAATAAAAGACAATAATGAAGATATTACATACTGTTATACCTTTAGTGACTGTAGGTTAAAAAAAAAGTAACCTGGTTACTTCAAATCGTACCCCTGTTTTGATGCCGCTAGACACAAGTTTTGGTTATAAGACTTATTTCTGTTTATCGTTTTTTTAACTTTTAACCTCACTTTTAACAGTTTTAACTGATTTAGATGTACATATTAGCATTAGCTGTTAAATGAAATTATCCGTCTTGGTGTACGAAAGACAGATGGAGTTAGAAATAGCACTGAAAATATTCTTACTGCATTTTTGAGTAATATAAGTCTAAAAAAATTTTAATCTAACTGAAGGAAATATCGGATTTGTATCTTTCACACGCATTTGCAATTTTTAGACTAGAATTTCATAAACATGTTAGGATATTAACTATTTAATTAGTGTGCGCTTTAGTTTTAGCATGATCTCATAAGTGGTTTCCAGCAAACCATAATTTTTAAAATTTTATTGGTGTAATCAGTTGAAAACCCAAAGCGGTTAAAATTTGCATACATAAATATGGGTCAGCCGTGTCGTGTTCTAAGGCAGATTTATTCACGCGATACTGAAGAAAAATTACTTTCATTTTATTACTTTGTAAGGAAGATACACATCGCAGGTTTTTTTCTTTGGCGTAAAAGTGTTGACTTGTATTACCATTAATAACAAGGTAAAAGTTGTCTGGCTATATTTAGCTGTGTAGTTAATATTTACAAAGCAGAAGCGACTCAAATTATTTTACAAGGCTGAATTGACGTAAATTTCGTTTTACCCATTTTCCATAAAAGTTAGTTATCATATGATTTGTATTATCATTTAATGTGAACGAAATTAAAAAATAAAATCAAAGTTTTTTTAATCTAAGCAATTTCTTAATTATAGGTAGCAGATATACATATATTATATTTGAGTTTTAAAGAACTGAGGTTTTTTTGCATTAAACATACAGACGTGACTTAATATTAAACTAATGTTTTTATAATAAAACAAATAGTGTTCCTTCTGTAAATCATGAATAGTGTTTTAATAAATTGAAAGTGTTTTAATATTATTATTAAAACTAATGTGGCATTGTATTTGTATCTAAGGAATGATCTATGGTTTCCTTTTTTACTTTTAATACGAAATACGTCGAGACACGTACTTCCGGTCTTATCAACTAGTAACGGGACACTACTAGAAAACTCAATAAAGGATACGGATGATAATAAAATTCTAACAGGTTGATAATAATAGCGACCTAATTGTCAAATTGTAAATGCTTTATTTTGATACACAGCTCTTGATTGTGTCTATCCGATTCGTAAGACATTTCAGGGAAATCTACAAAGTGTTTACATTTAAACTACAAAGCCTTCATTTTGTTTAAAACAGTAATTTTGTTTCCTTCATGTTTGCAATTAAATTTTGAAAAAATAAAACAATAAGATCAAGATTACATTAAAACACAACTTTCTGTTTCATCGGCTTGCAATTTTTCATGAGATTTTATTCAACCAATCAGCGATCGCATTATCTGGAGTGTAGACGTAACGGTTTTTCATTGTTCATTGTAGACGAATCATTTAGGGATTTTTAGTAGACAGTACCAGTCCTGCAATGTTGGGTTGCCTAAACTCGGCGGTTACATGACTTTAAAAATATCTTTGTTTGCCCGTCTGTCTTTGGAAGAACCAAAGCGAATTTCTAAAAGAATATTTACTTATAATTTTCGACTTTTAAATTTTACAACTTTTTAAAATGTAACGTAACTATTTTCCCTTATGGAAATTGAAAACCAACTTTCTCTGAGAAAGTCTTCATAAGTCTGTCAAAAGTTTAACAGACTTATAAAGACTTTTTCAGTTTTTTTTTTATAAAAAATAAGTCAAACTGTTTAAATCTTGTTTTTTTGCGCAATTTGGCAGAAAACCAACTTTCTCTGAGAAAGTCTTTATAAATCTGTCAAAAGTTTAACAGACTTATAAAGACTTTTTCAGAGTTTTTTTTATAAAAAATAAGTCTTGTTTTCTCTTTATTAGAAATATTTTTGGCAAAGACAGACAAAGGCAAATTTCCATAAGGGTATTTCGTAATAAAGTCCTTTCTTTAAGTAAAGTTCTATACAAATCGTTATATAAATGGTAGTCTTTTCGAAGTCAGTTGAATATATAAAAAAACGCCTGGCAATAAAATTTAATGATTTTCATAGGCACCCTAAAAAAGTTTTCTACTAAAAGTATAAAATTATAATAATTTGTATATAATGTCTTGAAAATTTATGTATATGTTCATTTGGCCAACAACATATTTTAATTATTTATGTCCTCATACTTTTTTATTATGTTGATGGTAAATTTCGTTTTGTTCCTTTCAAAAGGTCTCCAAAGTGCCATGTTGTAATAATATTATTTCTCCCTTTCGCAATTGTAGTATCAATAGAAGGTGCCTATAATAAATTAAAATTACTTGAATCACGCCAAATTCCGCATTACTGTACTGTCAACAGCTGAGATTTATTGCCCAGTGGCCCAGTGCAGCTGTGTTTCTATTTCGTTTACCCGCGCGCGCATTGTTCAACTGGACATATACATTTCTACTACCTCCACGTTTAGTTCGACCAAACCTGTATATGGATATGGTTAAATAAATATGGGAACAAGTTTTTCAAATATTTAAATGCCGAGTTGCTGCATCAGGGACCGAACCTGGTACATAATGGTTTTTCAATTGACATCGGAAAGACTATACATAAATATATGGTATATAAATAGTATAAAATGAAATTAATGAATTTTTTATTTTGTTTCATCAAATTTTGTCAAAATAACATTCCGAATGTGGAAATGACATTTGCACTGAAAGACTCAGAACCGGAATTTTCATTGAACCTGTCAAGAAATTGACCAACTTATTTTGGTATATAATATTTTGATAAATATCCTACAAACTACAATAAATTTTGGCAAATTTTGGCGATATTTAATGATTTTTAATATTTATTCACTAGTACCAATTTTAGTTTATAAGTTTATACATTCCACAATTTTAACATTTTTTTTGGCTTAAGTGTTTAAAGAATATGTTCCAAATTGGTGTTTATTATTGCAGTTAAAATAAATCAGACATGTTATAACTGTATTACGGTTTGTGTTTTTTTGTTATTAGTATGAACTTTTATTGTAAAAGTTGGTAGTCTTAAAATTGACCAATAAATTGACTGATCATAGTTTGTGTAACAGTTTCACAAAAAATGTATTGAGCCAAAAATTGGTAAATGTAAATCAACTTTTACATTCACATTGGTAATTTTGTCTAAACTACTAAAAAAGCAATAGAAAAAATCAAAATAATTTCAGCCAAGATAGGGCATATAACTTATTTCAAATTTCCCATAAAAATCAACGACTGGATGTTACAGGCAAGTGACTTGAAATCCTCCAGTGGTGTGATATGTATTAATACACACAATAAATATAAATACTATACAGCGGACTTAAACGTCAGTTTCAGAATTTCTTTTAAAGAAAAGAAGGAAAACGTTAAGTACTCTAAACCAGCGACTAGTTCGGAAACTGTTCATTGACAACTGTCATTGAAGTCAATTATGTTGTCATGTTAGAAGTACCAACAACATCCAATAATAGTGACATCACTTATGTGTAAATTTTTGTAACACGCAAACTCTCATAAACTATGTATTTTAATGTGATAATGCGAAATTAAATATTTGTACCTTTTTTGGACAACTGAAAATCAACTAAATTTTTTATTCATTATATTTATGTAAATTTTTATTTGTTCTTTTCCTTTTCTAGTGCAAAGGACGCCTCCGCCAGAACCCGAACCATTTCAAGAACCAGAAAGAGATAATTGTGGTAAGTTCATATTTTTCCTGCATATAATAGTTTTTTCATACTAGGAACTCTTTAATTAGCGCTAAACAACTTAAAAAAAAAATTTGGTGCTTTCCAGATCCTGCCACACCACAGATATTAAGCAACATAAACTCTGACAGTTTCGAGGCTCTCTCATTAGACAACACAGTGAACAACTACAGAAACTCGCCCCCACCCGCCATCAGTACTAATAAATATTCCCGATCCAAGTCCAACCTTGACCAAGTATACGTAAGTAGGTTAGTGAAGCAGCAGAATCGAGAGAACATCCTGCCTAACATAAACAAGACGAAACCTGTGGCAAAATTTGCCCTCCAAAGGCAGAGCAGTTGTAAGGATGTCCCAGAGGCTGCGCCAAAGACTGTCAGTATTAAGCATAGTGTTTCCGAAGCGAATATCAATAATGGTGGGTATTAAAACGTATATTTGTCTCAATTTATGTATCGTTTGAGGTACACAAAGTTCACTTCTGTATAATATATATTTTTTTAGGATCGGTGACCTCTAGGAGTGCATCTAGGAAAAACTCATTTTCCAGACCTAGTCGAAACTCAAGCGTACCTAACGTATCTAAGATACCAAACTTAAACAGTGCCAGAACAATTGAAAGAAGCACGGGAAAATCGCTTCCAGTCAGTAATGCCCCTGTCGATATTTATGTCAGTTCAAAAATTTCTCCGGAGGAAAGGCCTGCGGAGGAGGACGAATTTGTACCCGTGTCCATTGACAAACCTGTAGGATTAGACTTAGACGACTTTTTACCTGTAAGTGTTGTATTTTTTAGATTTTTATTCTTTGTTTTATAATTTCATTTCTTATTGCAGAAAAACCACAATACAATGGGTTTCCAGCAGCAGTTATCTGACATGTCAGAGGCGGAAGTACTGGGTGTTATTATGAGAGGCCATGAGCCCATGATGGGCATCCTGTCGACTCGACAAAGGAGCCTGAAACTAGTCGTAGCTCAATATAGGAGTAAAGATATGAAGTCTGCAATAGAGACCGCCTTGGTGATGGAAGATATGGCTGTACTTGTTGATATATTAGGAGTAATTAATAATAAATAGTAAGCACAGTTTTTCTTTTAAGCATAATCGAAATATTCTCGAATTAGAAATCCATTTAATTTTTTTTTTGTTGCAGTTCTTTGTGGACGCTGGATCTCTGTGTTTCAGTATTACCCAGAATGCCAGACCTTCTTCAAAGTAAATATGAAACGTAAGTACTTACTGTTACATTTATATTGTTTTTTAAATTTTTTAGAGTTGATTGACTATATTTTCTTTCACAGAAAAGTAGCAAAATATGTGTCAGGATTCAGTTTGTTTCCTGAAAATTTGAAGTATCTGAAAAAATTCAGTAGGTATTTGATCACAGAATTATCCTCCTTAAGGGGTAATTCTATGTCTAGCCGTTAAATTTTAAATGCATGTTGAAATTTTAGTCTAACAGATCCGTTAAATATTAATTATGAATTTTTATTCTATTTAGAGCGATCGTTAAGATAAAATAATTTTAGCAAGTTGTTAAAAATCTGATGGAGCACCTAGTTTAAACGTCTTAATTTCAATTACAGATTGTTGATAATACTGAATCAGAGAAAATCTTTCTTAACTTTACACAAGAACTTAGTGGGTAAATGGCAACAGTATGTATAATTTTCAGAAAATGTATGGTTTTTTATCAATTTAATTTTAAAAAACTGTTATGCCTATATAAAATTTCTCTGTGAAATTTCAATCTCTTTCCCAAACACATTGGGCTGCTCCGAAACAACTAATGGGACACATAGATACCAGTTGGAAGGGAGGGAATGACTTTCCTTTTAATTCCTAACTTGAATATTACTGACAGATCTCATTAGAAGGAGTTTGTGTTCGATTAGAACAATTTTCAAACGAAAGTACGTTAGCATTAGGGTGGCCCAAAAAAACGAATATTTTTTTCTTGTGAAAATATGTTAGTTTAACATGTTTTAAGAACCTCTCAAAAAATCTGTTCAAAAAAAATTTTTTTAAAGGTCACTCAAGATTTTAAAATATTTCCAAAATCGTCAAAAACTGAATTTTTTTTTTATTTTTTTTTTCGTTATTTTAGTGTACCTATGTTTTCGAGCAACCTCTAAAAATAAATATCAACGAACTAATAATTTTTTTTATTGAATTTGATGAACAAAAGAATAGGAATAAATCACGACACTTAAATTTTAAAAACTAAAAATTATAGATATTTGATACTCACAGTGCGGTAGCAAATTTTGCCTCGAAACATTTTTTAAGTGTCGCGTGATTTATTTCTATTCTTTTGTTCATCAAATTCAATAAAAAAAAATATTAGTTCATTGATATTTATTTTTAGAGGTTGCTCGAAAACATAGGTACACTACTTTGAATGTTAAAATAATTATGAGTGACCTTTAGAAATTAAAATATCAATTTGAAATTTTCAGAATTGAGTTTTTTTCAACCTAGAAAATGATAAAAGAACGAGAAAAAAATTTAAAAAAAAATTAAATTTTTGACGATTTTGGAAATTTTTAAAAATCTTGAGCGAGCTCTAAAAAAATTTTTTTTGAGCTGATTTTTTTAGGAGGCTCTTAAAACATGATAAACTAACATATTTTCACATGAGACATGAAAAAAAATTCGTTTTTTGTGCCACCCTAACATGTATGCTTCTTTACTAAAACGAAACAATATTTCAAATAAGACCTTAAATAATCATGGGCATAACTCAGCGGGCAGGGGCGTGCATTATCTTTGTCTTATCGGTAAGTCGGTTGCTACCTTTTTTTTTTAGAATTGAATCAAAATGTGTTCAAATTTTTCAGTAAGTCGCTGATTGCAAAAGCATTTTTTTTAGATGCTTCCATAAAGCTTGCAGTCTGGACCCATCTCAAGCAAAAAAGATACGTCCATGTAGATAATTCAAACAATTCTTATTCCGCAAATTTCCTTGAATATGTCTAATTTTTAATCTTATGTTATTATGGATTCATATTTATCACTAAAAGTACATTTTTCACCTACGATCCATATTTTCATTTTTTCTTGTGTGTGTTGGCTCTCCCTTATAGCTCATGGAAAGTATAGTTTTAAAATATATGAATGTTTAATTATTTACTAAGCGTAATAAAATTAGTACTAATTTAAATTATATTTGAAAAAGTGGATGTACACATAATGACGCAACACATGTACGATTTTGAAAATGTAATGGTGGAAGAGCTACTGGAGGAAACCAATTTTCTAGTGAACTAAATGTTACTGTTGACTTACCATTGACAAAAATTACATCAGTTTTTAGAATTTTTGACAGATGACTCAATTATTTGACATTTGACAGTCCTTTGACGTTTAATTTTTAAATTAATTGCTTTAAGCTAACAGAAAAATGCAACATTTTATTATTTCATAGTTACCCAATATTCATTAAATGTCACAAATATGCATTACAAACCGAAGACATCTCTTAAGTTATCAAAAATATCTAAAATATGTCGTAATGTAAATTTTGACACTCTGTGGTTAAGCTTCTTTCTTAATTTTCTGTTTTGATGAAAATGAAGACTTCGTAACCTATACTAAAAGGTGAAATTTTACCATATATTTCCAAAAAATTTGTATATTCAAACGATAAACATTTTGAAAAACGTATCTCTGCGGACCAAAGTTCATCAAATGTCCTAGATTGCCCTCTAGGGAGTTTGTTGTGAAGTGATCGCAGTTGCACTTCGTCGGAAACGCGTAGTGTTTCTGGTACAAACATATTTCATAGTTTTCTGCAGTATGTGTTGCTCTTTCGTTCGAACTTTTAGTTTATGTACCGACGGATAGAGGGCGGAGGTAGCTTTATGTAATTTGTGTTGCATAACTTAACGAGGTCGCTATTAAACTATTCTATATTAATAATTTTATTTCCGTTAAAATTTTCATATCTCTGTTCTTATACATAATTGAAGTAATCTATATTATGACCATTCGGGATTATATTATGTAATTATTTTATTTTGTGAATTCAAACAAAAGAATTTTCATTGTTATGAATTTTTCTGTTGCCTTATTCTTGTTTTATAATAATATACTTTATTAATATACTTTTGTGGACTAATTTTAATTCAGTAACAATTAATATATTTTTAATAGTTCTCGAGAATAATTTTAGTACTTAAATTCAGGCCCTTCGTCAATATTTTATTTCTGCAGAAAGTACATATTACCATTTTACTTTAGCTTCATTCGAAATCATGATTTAAGTAAACATATATTTCTACTTGCACCAGTGGCGTCCGTGTGAGAATGCCGCAACATTTTTTAAAAATATTGTACGCACTGACTTTCCCGTTTTGATATTTTTTTAGAAATCCGACATCAATTCTGAATGAAATTGTATCTCTTCATTTTTTTTTTGTATGATGCACCGTTTTTGAGGAAAAAAATAAAACATATTTTATTGCAAGTTGTGTATTTTTAATTTCTATTGATACATTATCTTGTAGGTTACTGTCAATATTTCTAAATAAAATACAACCATCAAATTTCGAGTCAATATCTTTAAAACTTTTTGAAATAATTAATAAAAATAAATAAAAAATTTAAATTTAAACTATCTGAAGCGAAGCATATTTTGAACTACCTTTATATGAACTTTTTTTAAAAAAATAACTTCGGCAACCACCCCTAAAATATTTCGCACTTACTAACAAACACCCTATATATATTAAATAAAAAATATTTTTTAACATTGTTAAGACGACCAGATTTTTCTAATTTATTTTATTACAATGATCATTATTAAAATTCCTGGAAAGATGAAGTATCACAATCAAAGTTCTTGTTGCCCCAAAAAGGCCAATTTATATGAAAAAAACTTAAAAATTAATTCTTGTATATTAATTATACATAGAAATATTGAGGTATTGCATACAAAATTGAAAATACATGAAAATTAATTAATTGCCTAAAAATGCATTGAAAATTTGAACTTATATTTCAAGGTTCATAATGAGGGTTTTGCTCCAAATTGGTAATTGATTGCAGCACTTCATAAATATCTAAATATTTTATTTTTTTATTTTCAAGAGTTACTCCATCCCATTTTCTTTCTTCGAGGCGTACGTTAAAAAAACCTTATTTAAATTTAAGTGTATGGGGTGTCCCAAAATTCAAGCAATATTTGAATTTTGTGACATTTGTGCGGTAAAGTGTTGCCAACGAAAAAAAATTACCGCTGCCAGTTCAGGGTTATTAAAAATGGAGCACTACACTAAAGAAATACTTTCGTGTTTTCATTGTCAAGCAATATTTAAAAAATAATGTAGGTTTGGCATCTGCAGTTTGCAATTTTCGTATGGTTGCATTAGTGATTTAACTTCATCAACTCTGAAGAGATCAATTGGAAAATTCAGGGAGACTGGATCAATTGGTGATCTTAAACACTCTGGCCGTACTTCAATAAGTCACAAACTGGATATTTCTAGAAGCTCTCTACAACGTATTCTCACGAAATATTTGCTTCTTCATGTTTACGAAGTTCAAATCCAGTTTTTTGTGCCTAAATTGTAAGATATGGATGTAGACTATATGTGGTTTCAACAAAAAGGTGTCACATGTCATACAGCACGAGAAACAATTCAATAATTACTGCATGATTCATTTCCTGGTCGTGTAGATCATGCGATTTATTGCCGTTGGACTTTTTATATCCTTTACATCTGTATAGTTTAGGCAACGAAGTAAACATTCACTCACTACCCTTCTTATTGTCATAAAGTAAGCTTTAAATTGTTGTAAACTCTTTTAACAATTGTGCTTACACGTGATGTATAATGTAAATCTCAATCTAAAATAACTATAAATTTTTGGCACTAGTTATTGATTCGAAAATATAAATTTTTAAAGTAATATGGGGTCTATTATATGCAGATATATTACGTTGGATTTGGTATCATTTTCATTGGACAGATAGTAGATAGGTAATATAGCATAAAAATGCAACTAAAAAATTTAGAAAATTCAGGAGTGTGTAAATAGTAATTAATGGTTCAAGAATGGGTCCTTGTGGAACTCCACAGTTGATTAACTTAAGTTCGAAGTATTGTAACATTGAAGCAATTTGAAAACGTTCCGCGTCTCGACCAGCTCCCAAAAGCGATATTTGCCGAATTACACGGTTATAAAATAAATTTACAACGACAAACGGCCAGAGCATTAGTTATT